AGAACTATGGAGAGCGTGAACGATCAAATGATAGCCTATATGAAGAAAGGGAGAAATCTGGATGGATGGATGGATGGATGGATGGATGGATGGATGGATGGATGGATGGATGGATGGATGGATACTCTGACTTTTCAACCTACTGTATTTTTTATTTTAAACATTATTTGATGGCCTTTGTGGCAGGGATGGAGATCCATATTTTATGTCACACACAGAGTATACATCTAGATAGATAGATAGATAGATAGATAGATAGATAGATAGATAGATAGATAGATAGATAGATAGATAGATAGATAGATAGATAGATAGATAGATAGATAGATGTTACAGTATCTATAACAACCCAAACACACAGGATTTCAGAATTAGACATCCCCAGTTATTAATTTCATATACTCACCAGATCTGAATGCCCTGTTAAAAAACTTCACATCGCATTACCCCCTGATGTCATTTACGTTGAGTTACAAGAAATGCAAAACTCTCTGCAGGTTCTTGTCTTTGTCGTCCGCTCTATTCAGCTGGCTTTGGAAACACACGGCGAAGAAGGTGGGGGCTGGGTGGTGAGATTTACGGGCGCGAGAAACGCAAAAGTAACGCAATAGTTACTTTTACTAGTAACTAGTTACTTTAAGTGTGGAGTAGCTCAGTTAGTAACTCAGTTACTTTTTGGGAGAAGTAACTACTAACTTTAACTAATGACTTTTTCAAAGTAACGTGCCCAACACTGGTAACGTGCAGTAACGGGGTGTCAGCAATGGTAACTGTGTTTTAGTTACAGTCAAAGTAATTAGTTAGATTACTCATTACTAAAAAAGGTAACGGTGTTAGTAAAGCTGTTACTTTCAACGCCGTTACTCCGATCACTGCCTGGGTGATAGCTAAAGAGCTGTTGGCTAAAAACTGTATACACTAAGACATCTATCTCCAGTCCTCAAGTCCTGCAACTTTTAGATGCATCTCTGCTCCAGAACAACTTAATCAAATAGTTGAATTCATGCCTCATTATGCAGTTCAGGACCCTAGCTCCTGTTCCTTTGCCTCTAGTGGGGTCAACATTAAGAAGGGCCATGATTAGGAAAATGAAGTCCGACTTGCTGTACCAAAGCACACGAATTATGCTAGTCCACTTGGGACCATAGCGTTCGGTAAAATAACTAAAATAAACATGAGTTACACAAATCTTGAATGGCTGAAACTCTCCATTATAAAACCCAAAACATATGGTGGTTAGGCTTTCAAGTACCACACAGAGTGCATGCAAAGTAGTAATGAATATTTCAGTTTAGTGAGGGAAGTTGTGGTTATACAACCCGTCATACAAAGGATTGTGGGATTCATTAGACCGCCATAGAACCAGATAGGAACTTTGTGAGGCCCTGTGCTAAATTAACTATGATAGAAAACATACAGGCTCCTTTTCATATCTCCTTCCTTTTTTAGCACTATTTGGACAGCACTGATCATGGCAACACCTGAGACACTTCTGCCTTCACTCAAGTGTCCTCACCAAATTTGCTGTACTTGGATCGAGCTCCAGTCCTTCTCCGGAGTCCTTCTAATGATCTGATTATTAGACTCAGGTGTGCTGAAGCAAACACGCATGTAAAAGATACCAGACACTGGACCTCAAGGGCTCAAATTTAGGAACCCTGTCGTAGAAGATCAGCAGGAAGATAATTTAGCTATGGGTCAGTTCCTTTTTTTAAATGATGTTTAGATTAGTTTTATTTAAATTATTTATTTGTTTACATCTTCTTTTTAGCCCTCCTCTTATCGGATTTGCTAACATTAATGTTAAGTTGTTTAGGCAGCGGATTGGACTAAGAGAAAGTGAGAAATAGCTAAAGCCTGAAGAATGTGTTTTTCCTTCAAACCTTCAGTCATGAACTCCACAATTGGCTCCATAAACAAGTGGTGAAAGGAAGAAACTAATTGACTAAGATTTTAACTAATTTAACCTGCAATAGTTCTAAAAATATCTATAATATTCAATAGAGATATTGATGCGGTTTATTCTAGAGCATTTTAATCATGAAAATTGTAGAACAGAAGCTAAAGACCTTGAAATAGAACTATACACAATGGAGTTTCCTTTGATTGAGTTTGTTTGTCATTTGATGCTGTCAGTATGTCATTTGTTCTTAGCATGGCATTTTGCAGAAAGCAAACATTGTCAAAACACTAAGCTGAAGCAAAAAACATGAAAACAAAGCAGTGCTTTTGAGTAAATGATATAGAAATTCATATGAAACACAATCAGTGACTTATTGGAACATCCAGTTACAGTATTTCATTAAGGGACTGGAAATTTAAGAAGGGTGACCATTCACACTCTCCAGTAAAAGGGGGTGATGTCATGAGCATTTATTTGTATCTGTTATCTGTGTCTGTGAATAACTTCACAGATGTGATGTTAGTTGCTTTTGAGAAGCTTCCATATAGCATACTGTACATATACAGTATGTCATGGTATTAAACAATTACTGGCAGATACACTCATGCGTAGATCCTACGTGCCACTGTTGATTGTTACTGTTTTTGTTTGTAGGAAAATTATTTGCATTCTCAGTCACCACAGAACAAAACTTCCAGCAACTTATCAGCACTGCAACAATGCTATTGATTCAGCGTGTATGCTGAATACAAATAATTATATGACCACTACCCTATCCCCACTTGGTATGCTACAGCAATGTTTTTATATTGATCTATCTGGTTTGTTTCTGCATGAAATGATATGAAACTCTTGAATTGCAAAACATATTAATCAGTTCTGACTGCTGCTGTGAATCTTGACTATGAAAAGGCAAAATGCCATTAATCCATTAGCCTTCTTGACAAACATTAAGCCCTCTTTCTGCTTGACTTTAATATATGTTCAAAATCCAGAATGTGCTTATAAAAAATAGTTGGGTTACATTTGGATCAAAATATTGAATGCTTATCCTGCTTTCCAATTTAAAATAGATTTATCTTCCTTTTCTGAGGAGCAAACTGCAGTATGTACTGTATCACCTACCCACATCACTTCATTTTAATCTTGTATGAAATTTATTTTTTACTTTCTATTACAAGAGCTGTGCAAGTCTCCTTAGGTACTGATAATTGCTATGCATGCAATATTCTGATTAAATTCATGCTTCATTGTTAATGCTTCCAGACATATTCCAGTACACCTTTGCATATGTGTTGGTTGATTACGCTTGCTTTGAAGCTCACCTTGATTTGTTGTGTGTTTTGCTTAGTCTTATCATGGTTCAGTCAGCAGGGACCTTGGGTTTTTCCCGTAAAAATTAACTTCTGAAGAGAACAGAAAAGCACACTACCATGTTAGACTTTAAGAGAAAACTACACATTTTTAAACTACTTCAGGTACTACTGAAGATAAATTATCGGCCAACTTAATTTAGATTTGCTTAAAGCTTCTTTTTTTTTTACTTTCAGCTTAGGTAATACGATCTAAGATGGGAATATTCATCAAGTTAGGATAAGGCTTTTGAAAATATATATAAAAGATTTTAATAGAGTTAAGCTCCATTATCTAACATTGCAGCTGTTAAATTTTATTTTGAAAATGCCTGGAACACCTTATTGCCCAGTATTTCAAATTCCCTTCACCAGATTATTTGCATGTAGTTACATTCGTCACTAGTTGAAACCAAAAACTGACTTTATTTGACCTGTAAGGGAATATTTCTAGCTGCTATTTTCATGCAGCAGGTTCAGCTGAATTTTGTGTTAGATTTTCTTTCACATTGCCTTTTTAAACTAACCCTTCTTAGGTTTTCTTTTTATTCTCATGTTTATTCATCTGCTCATTGATAGGTTAATTGATTTATTCATTTCATCACATCAGTTCCAGAGTTCCTTGCATGCAGGAGTGGAGCAAACTAGACTAAGAAAAATCTTCCAAGCAATGGGATGTGTCGGTTCAATATATTGTACACTTGTGCACTCGCTAGCAATTGGAAACTACGATTTTAAAATCCAGATGGAAAAAACCTTAGCAATAACATATCCATCTTTATTCTTTAGAAGTTATTTTACATTTTAAGTCATAATTGACCTTCTGGAATTGTCATAAATTCTCCTTTTTAGTTCATTTCTTGTTTGTATTCATTCTTCTGCAAGCCGGTTTTGAGTCAGCGTTTTTCCCAGTCATGGCATTTTATTATATTCACTAAGAAAAAAAGCACTGTTATGTGAAGGAAAAAAAATCTACTACTAGCAACTGAGGCGTTAAGGTCATGCAATTTCAGCAAATAAAGACCAAATACATGTGTGTGCATGGGTGTGTGTCTGTGTGCATGTGAGCATTAGACAGAGACTGATGAAGACCGAGAGAAGTGCGAAATTGAGATAGGAAGTGAATTAAGAAGAGTACAAGCAAGGAAAAATAAAGACTTTTTTGTATAGAAAGCAAGGAGAGAGAAAGAGTTAGGGGTTCAGATGGACAAAGATAGCAGAGTCTTGCAGCGAATGTTCATATCTCTAGCCACCAATGACTCCACATGCTGCACTTCAACTAATGGACTCTGTCTTCCTCTACTGTCTTATCAGCCCTCTCTCCCTTTTCCATCCCTCGCCCTATCTTAAATGTACTCAAAGGTGTGCTATCTTTCCACTTAACGGCTCTACCTCAATCTCATTTTTATCACACTTTCGTCTTGCTCTTTCTCTCCACTTCTATCTCGCTCTTAAATACTTCCGGTCTTCTTAGTCAGTCTCCTTCTCATCAGTTATCATCCATCTCTTCACCAACAGTTCACCTACACTTCTGGTGGACTTATCTATTTACTGAACCGGTTGAAGATATATATTTGATGTTTCATGTCCTATGCAAGCCTCTGTTCTCTCCCTGGGGAAATCCATCTTATCATTTAATTTGAGTACGGTGAAATGTGTTGAAGAATGCCTGTCAGTGTTAGTGATTGACCATTTGATTAAGAGTCTTTTCAGTAAACATGATATTTTATTTGCACACTTTTCAGATGACCCAGGAGCAATACATCCTTGCAGCCCAGCCAAACCCCCTCCACCAGCGAGGAGCTTCAGAATGCAGTGCCCAAGTTTACCCAGCAGTCGGCATCTATGGGTGGAGAAAGAGATGTTTGTACTTCTTTATCCTTCTTCTACTTGTCACAATGATTGTCAACCTGGCACTCACCATCTGGATTCTCAAAGTCATGAACTTCACTCCGGTAAGAGGCTCCTGCATGTGCATGTTGAAGTGCCAAGTTGTTATATAGGATTTGCCTTCAAGAGTCTTTGTTTTTTTTATTTAAAGGGTCTCTTTAAGAGTGTATAACACTACATGATATTTAAAATGAAGAATGAATAAATGTCATCTTAAAATTGGATTGTGCTTTATCCCTAATATCAACTGTTATTACTTTCTTGGTGTGTTATGGCACATAAAGATAATCATTTTGTAATAGTGAAGGTGATCCACCATTGCGAAGGACAGCTTTTGTTAGAGATAATATGGCCTTATCCAGAGGACGGATTGAAATTGTGGCATTGTAGGATTTTCTATGAATTTTCTGTGAATTCGTTTTTGCCTTCCTTTTATTTACACGCACCATATCCCATGAATGGTGCAAAGTGATCTCCACAGTTTGGATTATATCCTGCAAGGCTGACTATCACTACAATGCCACAATTTTGTATGCTGACTGCTGTTCTAAATCCTGAGTCCTTGCAGATAAAATCTTTGTGCAAAGGATGGTTCGATCTTATCCGAACTATGTTTGTTCCCTCGTTTACTTGTCTCACTTAAAAGAAATATAGAGTTTATCTTGTCCAGACTGGAACATAAAAGTACAAGAATGAAGTTCACCATTCTGGATATTTAGCTGCCTTGTCCAAGGGTGCTTTTTTTTTTTTTTTTTTTTTCCAATTTCTGGAAATTTTTAGAACCTCAAACTAAGGTTGAAAAAGAAGAATAAAAACATTGGTTCTTCATATTAGGTGTATTCTCTGTTGAGATTTTTGGTCAGAGGACATCCTGAGTAAAGATATGCACATTCATTTATAAGCAGATTGGTATAATTTTAAATGCCCTTTCATGGAACTCCAGTGTAGTTCTGCATTATTTCTTTTACTAAGTAAATCAGAAAATTTGGCATTTTTAATTATTTTTTACTTCCTGTCCAGCTTCTGCTCAAATGCTAAAAGCAAAAAAAAAAAAAATGCCCCTAACCAAAAAAATAAATATTCATAAAAACAGAGGCAAATGCATACCAATAATTTATTTTTAAGATAATTCCTTTTGAATGACTGCACCATTCTATCAGGGCTATAGCTCTACATAAAGTGAAAATAATATTAATATGTTCGCTTATGCATACCAGCTCCTGTTTTTTTTTAAACATTCATATAATTCAAAATAGTGACATATTAATACTGTTATGTTCAGGGAGCAATTGTTTTGTGATTAGAAACAATTTATTTTTGTTCTAATCTAACCTTAGATTATCATATAAATGAAAGACAAGATTTCTTAGGCCATATAACAGGGGAAATATAGACGATCATAACACAGCATGGGTTAAACCCACTGAGTTTTATTTTACTTATTTTATTTTGGGGGGGAAACTCTTCCTTCTTAGAACTAAAATTAAAACACAGAGATCTTGTTTCGTTTATAAAAAAAAAAAAAAAACTTATATGAATCCTCTTGTTACTTGCAACATTTTTTGATTTTAAAAAAATAATTATTGAATGTCAGTAGTGCAATAAAATATTTAAATAAATAAAAACCCTTTGCTTTGCCTTTATTTATATTTTTTTTCATATCTACTCTATGGTATGCCTCTGATTTTAACTGCAAACTTTGAGAAAAATAAATTCAGGACAACAAAGATTTGACTGAAAGAAAATAAATTCTGCAAATGTTTTTTTTTTTTTTTTGTCTGTGTGTATTGCATAGAAAAGAAGAAACCCAATCTGAGGATAGAATTAGAGAAAACAAGTGAAAAACTTCAGAAAACATTAATCTAAACATGGAGTAAGGGAGCAATGAATCTTAAAAGTGAGAAGAGAACTTAATATGGTTGAGTGGTTGTCTGTCTCCACATGGTTTTGCTGTAGTGTTTGATGATTCATTCCCCTCTCTTTTCTCTTTCTTGCCGTCTGCCTCTGGGGTCCCTGGGGAGTCAGTTAGGTGTCTGTTTTAGAGTTCTATGAAGGGAAAGTCAGTGGATGCTGAGTTGACACAGAGTCTAAACTCAATGATGCATGACTCTTAAAAGTATAACTGTGTGTTTTTTTTCTCTGCTGTTGGACATTCTTCTGAGTAAATTATATATCAGGCTACATCTGATCTGCCTGTTTTCAGAATCTAATCATTTTTAACTTTTAGCATCCCTTACGTAATGCTGTCACCTGACGTCAACAGAACGTCAATAGAATAACCTTTCATTTTACACGGTTTTATTTCTATCAGAAATAACGTTAAACTTCAGAAAAAATAAAATGATAATTTACTTAGCAAACTAATCAAATAATAGTCGATAAGCAAAAAAAATAAGTAAAGTTTTGTTAGAGGATGATCAAATATTTAGTGTTTTACAGATACAGTGACTTTCAAAAGTATCAAAGCAAAATGTAGTTAATTGTGAAGTGAAAAGAGAATTAATCAATGTTATGGGTTTTCCTTTATTAATGACTAATCTTAAAAGTGTGTTATCTGCTTTTATTCAATGAATGTTAATCTGAAACCACTAAACTACTGAAACCACTAAATAAAATCAAGTGTAAGCAGTTGTTTGTAGAAGTCACACAATGGTTAACATAGCTGTTCCTGTGAAGGCCTCAGAGAGATAATCAATAAACAGCATTGTAAAGGAGCACCAGTTATCTTAGTGATAAGGTTGTGTTAAAGTTTTAAAAGAAGATTTAGGTTATGAAATTATATTTACAGTTAGAGCACAGTTCAATCATACGCTGCAGAAATCTGCCATTCTAATAAGATCAGCTTTTAAGTTGCACCTTTAAGAACAGCTGTATTTTTACAGTGGCTTCTTCTAATGCTAGAACCACATGAGAAATCTATGAATTAAAATAGGATGCCAGACATAATTTTCCACTTAAGTTGTAAACCCACTTTTAGACATGTTATGGATTTTGTCAGTTTGGTATTGACCCAAAAAGTAAGTGTCTAGTGATAAAAAACAGAGAAAAAGAATACCGTTACAGGAACAGCTCTGGCTGTGCATCTTGGCCAGTGAAACAGTACAGGGTGTGATATGTGATGTTATTATTGATTCTGTTAAGAATAGAAAATTAAATGTAGAGGAAAAAAAGAATGAGGCCCATATTATCTGTACTAAAACTACAAGTGCTGTAAGTCATATTAAAAAACATGTAACATGACTTGTTTATACTTGCCCTTGTTTGTATTACCTATTTAGGTTCATTTTGGTAAATTCTCTAACCTTCTGAAGAGTCAAAGCACAGTTTGTGTTTTTTTTTCTCATTAAATCCAAATGTTAACATTTTATATTTTAAGTCATAATTGATCCTCTGCTGAAAAGTTTTGTGCAGGAGATAGTTTTAGTCTTTATTCATAGACTACAGAGGTTAGACATACTCAGAAATGCAGGGAGAAGTGAGACTCTAATTTTTACTATGTTAACAAAGTCATGTAGCATAAATACAACATTATGGTAAGCTTAAAATGATTGATACAGTACCTCCTGCATACATCAATTTAAAATTAACCTTTTTTTTGTATTGAATTATATATTTTGAAAGAAAAAAAAATCTGGGATGTCTCTCAAGACAATATAAACTATGATTTTGTTGCATTTAAATATTACATGGATACTCTATGGATTATTTTGATTGAACAAAAGGAGAAATCATTATCTTAATATCAATCAAAGCCTTTTTATACCATCCAGAATCTACATGTTACCACTATTTTTTAAATTACCTATTTTTGTAATTTTCTCCTAAAAGAAGTGTCTTTGCTATGATTATCCAAATGTGTTACTTCCAATAGATTATTAGTCATAACTAAAATAGGAGTGAATTCTTACTTGGCCTTGAGACCGGGTTGTTGGGGCAGCAGAGACTTCTTTTTTCCCCAGACACCTTCTCTGACTGAGGTTTTCCCAGGCCGTCTGAGAGATATGGTTCTCCACCATGTCCTGTGCTGTCCCCTGGGCCTCCTCCTGGTAGGATGTGCACTAAACATATACCAAATGAAGGTGTCCAGTATGTATCTAAAAAAGCTGTCCAAAAACACTTCAGCTGACTCCTCTCTATGGAGAAGAAGGGGCTTTACTTTGAGCCTCTACTGAGCTGAGCAAGCTCCTCTCCATATATCTAAGGGAATGCCCAGCCAACCTGCAAAGGAAGCTCATTTCAGTTGCTTATATCACAGATCTTTCTCTTCTGTTCATGAACCAGATTTAGTGACATAGGGGAGAGTAGGAAGGAGCTTGGTTTGTCTTAGCCCAATAATCCTGTCCATCAAGATAACTGTGACGGAGGGCAACCCTCCTGGGATTAAATATGAACTGGTAATACAGACATCCCAAGTTCCAAAAGCTAACCCCCCCAGCCCCCCACCCCCGGATAATTTGTCTGACTTGCTGGTATTCATGAGCAACTACCTATAACAGGTTTGGGATGTCTGGTAATAGGTCTTACTTAATGCCAATACTCCTGCTCTGCTTCTACAGTGACTTGTGGCCGCCAGTAAATGACCCCCAACTACGCCCCCCACAGGGCACCATGAGAGACAGAGTCAGATGCCTTCTCCTGGTCCACAAAACAATTGTGGACCGGTTGGGCAAATTCCCATTAACCCTCAAGCACAAATGGTATAGTAGAGCTGATTTTGTCTTTTATGGCTGGAACCAACACTGCACTGCTCCATCTGAAGCCGCGGTTCAGCAGTCAACAGGACTCTTTTTTCCAGCACCATGGCATAGGCATTATCAGGGAGACTGAGAAATGTGAACCTCCTGATAGTTGGAACACTCCCTCTGGTCCCCCTTCTTTTGGAGAGAAACCTCTACCCCAATCTGGCAGTTCAGGGTAGGACTCTCCTCGACCTCCACACAATAATGAAGAAGTGTTTGAGCCTCAACAGCCTGTCAGTATCTAGAGACTCAAGGTCAGTCCTAACATGGTATTTATTTTATTTTTTTTAAAGGAACACCATAATGACAAACAAACATTATTATTT